CCCACATTCTAGTTTCTGCTTGTTCTGCCTGGTTCCTTCTACTTGTAAAGATTTCCTTTCAATTTTCTAATGGACTTATTAGTTTTTTTTTTTTTTTAGACTCTTTCTTCATTTCATCTTGAGTCTTCCTCAGTGTTTCCATCTCCTTATCACATTCTATTCTCAAGTCTGGATTGTCTTTATCTTTACTCAACCTATGTTTTTGTCTTTATTTTCCTTCTCTAGGCATCACTCGGGCATTTATTTTCTATAAGTTCTTTCTTCTTAATGTCCTTGAGCTAGTTCTATGTATCCTCTTTATACTCCTTGAATTCTTTGACAATATTTTTTTTTGTTTTCCTTTGTTTTGTTTTTAAATTTCATGTTTTGAGGTTCATCTAGGAACTTCTTATTGGCAAACATTTTCTATAAAACTGATAGGGTTTGAAAGAATAGATAGATAGTCTTGATATACAATTAGTATTGGTATTGTTCCCTTGGTATTGTTCCAATGCGATCTCGGTATGTAAACTTCTTTTGTTAATTTTAAGTCTGATATGGACAAATCAGGTTGAATCTGTCCTAAACAGTTTGGGCCAAGAAGGTGAAAATTACTTAGGTGGAATGAAATTAGTTAGAGAGAGAGAGGGCTGGACTTACATATAGGGTCTGCCACCTAGTCCAAATGTGAAGTGTGGAGATAGATCTGGCTGGGTGGTAAGGTTGGCTATGGTGTGGGGCTGTGCTGTGTGTTGGGAGGGTCCTGACAAAAGCTTCTAGATGAATTTGGGTTCAGGGAGGGATGTCAAAATTAGATTGTGAGGAAGGGGATAGTCACGGAGATCCACTGGCTAGACCCTGGAGAAGAAGTGGGAGATGTCTGTTAGGAGAGGCTTGGCAGTACAGAGGGATTTGGGTATGGAGGCAGGTAGGGAGCTCCTGGTGGATACCTCATGTGAGTTGTAGTGCCAATAGGTCCACGGCACTGGTTGTGGGAACTAGGCTTGATATGGCTGGTTGGGGAAAGATGTGAACAGGTATGGTGAGGGAGCCTCATCTAGAGTCTGGACTCAGGAGAATGACCAACATCTGGCTGGGTAGACAGGCTGGATGCAGTGCAGAAGGGATCTGTGGGTGGTGGCAGCTAGGGTGGATTGTAACAGGGATAATAAAAACCCAGAGACAGATATTGGGGTTCAAGCAGAAAGATCAGAGAAGCAAAGCAGCAAGCCACTAGATCTTACCTCTACCTCAGGCTGAATGTGCCCTGCCCTCAACGCCGATGCAGACTAATTCCTCGAATATGTCTGGAGACCAAAATGCCCCAGACTGAATTTCTGTTCCTATCTCATTTACCTCATGTGCTGGTATTAAAAATGTGTAATTCAAAATGCTGAGATCACTTTTTGTGAGCTGTTTCTCTTTTAGACTGGATAAATTTTGTGTAGCTCAGTGTGGCCTTAACTAACAGATCTACCTGCCTGTTTCCTGAGCCCTGGGATGAAAGGTGTGTGCCACCACTGCCTGACTCTGTGAGTTGCTAGAATGGCTGCTGGGATTAAAGGTGTGCATCACTACTGCCTGACCTCCATGGCTTATGGCTAGCTTTGCATTTTGAACCCTCAGGCAAGCTTTATTAAATCATAAATAATATATCACCTAGGTGGATTTTGCCAAAAGCTAGAGGTTGGTTATAGAAGAGGTAGGTATGAGCAGATAATAAATACCTGGGTACTGTATGTAAGAGCCAGGATTGATCTGGTAAACTGGGGAGAAAACATGGATGAGGAGTGTCCCAGAAAATGACTGCGCTAGACCCATGCAAGGAAATGGATTTACTTCTTCCATTTGGAGTGGCAACTTCTCTGAAGATACAGCGTTTACTTGTAATACTGTGCCCCTTGTGTGGTAGCATATAAACAAGGACACTATTAGTACCCAATCCTCCAGACTCCTAAATGTCAGTGCTACTGACATGGTAAAACAAGATTAAACAGAAGGATTCTGGCTGAGGGAAAAAGCTTGCACACAACATTCTTCAGAAACCTGTGAGACAGGATATGTTTTCAGGAAGAGGTTTTACTCCTTAACTGGCAAATGGAGCATATAATTCCTAATTAGCACATGACTGTAAAACATCTCAAAACCTCCACTCTAGCCTTCTGTGTCATCTTACCTCCCTGATCCCCTATGCTTCCATGTTGTTCTGGCTTGCACACACATACACCCAAGCCCAAAAGCCACCTCTTCTCTTTAGAGCTTGCAAGGTTTTCTTAATAACATTAATTTTTTCTGTTCTCTCTGGTGAGTCACAATAAGAGCCTGGTAGGGTCCAAAGAACAAAGGAAATGTCCAAAATTCTTTACAAATCTACAATAGCTAATAGTTCAGTAATGAGGGATAGAACCCCCTGAGGATCTCCTCCATTATTCCTGACTGGTGACAAGCAATTCCAGTATAGGTATCCACAGCTGCTGCAAGATTATGGTAACAGTGTATATGTCCTTCCTGGTGGAAGGCATTTTGCAGACTTTATGTCTATTTTCTGACACTTAGATTTGGTTCACCCCCTTTCAAAATGTTTCAGGAGACTAGAAGTGGAGTTACAGATTTCTCATTTAGTACTGAGCCAACCTCCATCAGTCTGAGCACTCATGAACCTATAAATCTCTACATTTACCACTGTTTACTGAAAAGGGAGTCTTCTCTGATTGAAGTTGAAAAACAGTCTTCTATGCACATAAACATTTGACATTATGGCAGCATTCGGCTTCTGATTAAGGACTATCAACACCTCTGCCAGAGGTTTTTGACCAACTTTGCAGTATTAGGCATGGATTCCCTCCTAAGGAGTAGGTTTCTAATCCAAACAAAGATCAGCTGGTTACCCTCATAGCATTAATGACACTTTGCACATTGTGCTTGGAAAATTAGTCTCAGTTCATAGCATTCACAGTAAATTAAGACTTTTGGTGCCTTTTGTTTTTCGACATCCTGCATTATATCTTTAATGAATATAAAAGTTACCAGGCAAGGAAGATGGTCCCAGCTTGACTTCATTTCCATGTTGATTTCTGTATATCATGAAGGCAATGAGTATAATATCAACAATAAGTCTCACCATCAAGCTTCTGTGGGTAATCAAGAATTGCGAGAGCTTGTATTACTTCCATGGCTGCTCTTGGGTCTGCCTTATGAACTCAACTTTTATTTTGAGACAGGTCTGTCACAGAACCCAGAGCTCTTAGACATAGGCAGCCTGTCTGGCCAATGAGGATTAGTGGTGTGTGTGTGTGTGGCATTTGTTTTCTGTTTCTCTCTCTCTCTCTCTCTCTCTCTCTGTGTTTGTGTGTGTGTGTGTGTATGTGTGTGTGTCTTTCTCTCTGTGTCCCTCTCCCTGTGTGCCCCCCTCTCTCTCTCTCTCTCTCTCTCTCTCTCTCTCTCTCTCTCTCTCTCTCTCTCTCTCTCTCCTTCCAGACAATCCCTAGGACTACAGACCTATGCTGTAGGTATTGGGTGTTGGGGATCCAACTGGGCTGGGGATCCAAACCCATGTTCTCATGTTTGCATGGCAAGTACTTTATTCTCTGAGTCTTCTACCTTGGCCTTTATTTTCTTTTGTATAAATTTTGTATTACACAGACAACAAATTTATAGTAGGGCATTACAGGACATATTAATCTACTGGTTGAACAAGATCATAAGGATAAAACAACTACTTTAATAATAACTGGCAAAGAAATTATGCAGGTTATCATTTCTTATGAGTAACAGTAAGCAAGGTTTTACAATTATTCATGATACTTAACATCTCTGTCATAAATGATGAAGGGGGAATTAAAATAAGAAAACTTACATGTTCATGTTATATATTTAGTCAATATTGAAACCCAAATATAAACTCCTGGAGTTCTGATTTTTAAAAGCTTATATCTCCAAATATTAAAAAATTATCACATAAATTTAATGATAAGTAAAACTAAAAGCACCAATGCTACATATTCAAAGAACAGGAACCCAATAATTAATTGAGTTATTAAATGAATCTTAGATTATTTAAAAAGTTGTTTCTTATTGAATAAATTGTTGCGTGATAAATAAAAGACCCAGAGACTGATGCTGGGGTTCAAGCTTCAAGATGAAGATCAGAAAAGCAAAGCAGCTTGTCACTAGTTCTCACTCTACCTCAGACTGAAATGTGATCCTGGCTCCACTAAACCTCAGACTGAACCTCTCCTCAGCTTGGCTGGAGAATCCTGAGACTTCAATGTCTGCCTATCCGAAGTGTGGCTGGAGAATGAATGCCTGATACTGACCACTGAAGACCCTGCTCCTATCTTTTACTACTCTAGTGCTGGGATTAAAGCTATGTAAACCCAGGTTCTGAGATCATCTTTGTGTAGGCTGTTTCTCTTTAAGACTGGATCACTTATATGTAGATTGGGGTGGCCTTGGACTCACAGAGAGCTATCTACCTCTTAATCCTGAGTTCTAGGATTAAAGGGTGTACCACTACCTCCTAGCTTCTGGATATTGGGATTAAAAGTGTGTGTCACCACTACCTGATCTCTATAGCTTAAGGCTGACTTTGCTTCCTCAATCCTCAGGCAAGCTTTAATAAATCATAACTAATATATCACCACAAGAATACAATACATCTCTTCATATGTTTTGTTGTGTGTGTGTGTGTGTGTGTGTGTGTGTGTGTGTGTGTGTGTGTGTTAGACTCAGTCCTGTGTTTTTATTAATGAGGGTAAGAAAGGGACCACACCTGGCAACCAAGGAATGAGGTACCAACCAGGAAGGTGGGATGGGCTCAGGCTCTAGGGATTAAAGGGAAGACTGATGGCCTAGGAGGGCCCAAGGAGTCCTTATTCTGGCAGCAGCTGAGAAAGTGACTCAGGGAAAGCTTTAGACACTGCAGCCACAAGCTGGTTCTGCAGGATGAGAGGCTGTGGCTATGGATGCAAGATAGGTTGGGGTGGCCTGGAATCACCCTGAAGTCACCTTGGCTTGTCTGCCTAGATCATCCACTGGTCCTGGTCCTGTTCATTGCCTTCTATGTCCACCTCATTGACCTCTCCATCACCAGGTGACTCATTATAGTCATTCATCTCATCCATGTCCTGCACACCCTCATCATCTTCTGAATCCTTTTCATTGTCCTTATCATCAACTTCCTCTTCTTTCTCATCATCATAGTGCTCTGAGGCTGGCTTGCCAATAGGTACCAGGTTGTGGTCTTTCTCCGTGATGCTTTGGATCCAGGCCTGCTGCTGCTGCTCCTGCTGATCCTGCTGCTCCTGCTGCTCCTGCTGCTGCAGCTCTGTCTCCTCTACTCTACCCATGGTAGATTCAGATTAAACCACAGTGTCTCAGTCACACAACAGAACAGTGAAGGGAACAAGGTGGGCATGGTTCCTAAGCTGAGTTTGAGTCCTGACTCCATCACTTACTAGCTGTTTGACTTTGACCAATATACTTAACCTCTCTGAGCCTCAGTTTCCTCATCGAGCCAAGACCTGGCAGTGACCAGGAAGTGCTTCACCAGGCCTGAGTGGAAGAACACACCAGAATACAGGCAAAAAGCATTTTTCAGAGGTATGAAATTAGTTAATAAACTATTGTTTATTGTATCTACTCAATAAGAGAAAATTTATACTTCTACTTTCTTTATCACGTCAGTTTCTAGCAAACAAATTTTGTAAAATGCTTTTTAGTCAAGATTACTAGGTAAGCCCAGGAAATATGTTATTGCTGGTAACCACATAACGATAAGAACATATTTTTATTATCTCATTAAAGTTGTTCCAAGTTACTATCATCATTTTTTCTCAGAATAATTTATAATTGTTTTTTATTCCATATATTGACTTAAAGAAATTGTTCATAAAGAGTTACCAGTATCCACTACTAATGCTAGATACTGTAAGGTAGTTTTAACTGGGCATTGATTTATGATTTTTATGTCATCAATTATGATTTTCAAATTGTATTTATTCTTATCTGTATGCCAAGTAATGTTGACTTGTTTTATTCTATTCACAGAGTCTTTGAGTTTTTATGCACTTATAAAAATTCATTTACATTTATATTTGAGAGACAAGTTATTCTTTATCCTACTGCATAGATACCTCAACTCTTTGTGCTGCTTTGAAAAGCTAGACATACTTCCCCTGCTATGGTTATCATACCTATAAACTTTTTAGAAACAGAAGTAAAGATCAATTCCTTTGGCAACCCTAGTGCTTAGCATAATATTTAGTTTGTGCTAGAAATGCAATAACTATTAAATTAAAATTCATTTTGATAACATTTTATAATCAAATCTTCCTCTTTTAGACTGTTTTTACTTCAAGAAAAGTTTGTCACTAAAGTTGGACAAGTTGTTACTTATAAATTAATGTGTTTTTACTTTATCACAGTCAAATTTTTTGTAATTGGATTTTGGAAATAACAAATACAAGCAAAGCAGAAAATAATGTTATTTTTAATATTGTTTTTCATGCCTCTGTGGGCAAAACAATAAGAAGAGTGACTCACGGTTTTCAATAATGTTTTCATTAGAAAAAATAACAACTTTATTGGGATTCATAATGACCTATAACAATGTAACTGAATGAGATTTATTATAGTTCACTGCTACATTTCTCTAAAAGCATCTATGTTAATTTTCAAAATAAAAGCTCATTTTTAAAAAGAAAATACTAGCATCTATATTCTCTGTAACTTTAACAAAAGATTTAATGGCAGAACATACACTAGACTAGACATATTAGAAACTGTCAAATAAAACAAAAAAAGTTTAGTGTTCTTCCCATGTGAGTGAAAATAAATGATTGCATTATTTCTTAAGTAATATGGCCTGAGCTTTATATTGTCAAAGTCTATAAAACAGCATCAGGCGAAATAATGAGAAATGGCCAAAAACACTTCAGTTAGCATAAGATTTTAGCATCTTTCATCAATAATACAAGAAGACTGGAAGAGTTATCACAGTATAGAAAACAAAGGAATGTTACTGTTCATCTGTGGAGCACACTAGGGCATTGTAGCTAATGAAAAATGTTCATTCCTTATATTTCTGTCTCCAAGAATTTCCTCAAATTGGCAAAGTAGTAAATCACAATGAAAAGCTGAAACAAACAACAACAAATACATTGAGAATAGTAAAACAATGTTAACCAATCAATATTGCAGGTATACTTTAATCCAAATCTAATAGACAAAAATGACATTCAGATATCGGTCATATATATGTAATGAAAAAGTAATTAGTAATGAAAATCACAATTGACCTAAATAAGTGCACATCTGTCAATTCTATTATGCCTTTATGAGGTACCACAAAAATAATGGAAGCAGTACTCATCTATGTCTCAATGGTCAGCACTTGGATTTATAAAATCAGAAGAGAAAGAGTGAAAGAAGAAAATGAATAGCATCTCTTTCGAGAAAAGGAGCAGGCCCATTCATGTTTTTGTGAGCTCTGGGTCATTCTCTTATGCTGTGATCATTAATTCATCTTAGAGCTCAAAGCTCTGTGATTATAGAGTCTTAAATTATGTTGGCATTTGACCAGTATTGATTTGCAGTTCTTATCTCTAGTGATGGCACAGGGCAGCAAGAGGGCAAATGCTTCCTCTTTTTATCTTAACAAGGTTACATTAAAATAAAAAAGAATATGGCTTTCTAACAGACACTTTAGTAAATGACTCTAGTCTACAATTTTCTCTGAATGGTTTCATTTTGCTACAAATCCTACCTCATGCTCTTATGTCACACTGACTGAAACTTTTGACTCCAGGTACATTTTCACTTCTCAGGATGCTCTGTCTCTGCTTGTCAGCCATGATCAAATTCTAAATGAATCCTGATCTAAATGAATTATAAAGGTTAAATATGGTTTTGGCCTTTTCTTCTGTAGGCAGAGAGTAAGAATTTGGGTAGGTAAAATTGTGACCACCCTTAGTAACCTCTTTCCCCTCTTTAACAGTGGATTTCAAAGACCTTCCATGTCCTTGGGTAACTTTAAAAGAATGAGGTTTTACAACTGCCAGGAGAACTCCATGGTCTGCAGTGTGTTGAGTATAGTTGTGTTATAGCCTTTGGCTTGCAAAGTTCTTCTTAAACTTATGCCTATGGAGAGACAAAAGGCTAAGATTTCTTTATGAAAGAATTGTGTTTGGTTGTTATACAAACTGGAAGTAGTTTGAAATTTGAAAGTTGAATTATATCCCACATTTATTCCTTTTTTAAGCTGTTAATGCTATCAAATGAGGCTTTTTGTGTTGTTCGTGTAATACTGGAGATTTAAGCTAAGGCACTGTGCACGGTAAAAAGAACTCTACCACTGAACTATACATCTACTTTTTCTTTGAATTTGTGATTTTGCAAGAGTCTTACAAAATGTTCAGGCTGGACTTGGATTGACTCAGTAGCCCAATAAGGCATTGAGTTTCCAATGTTTTGCCTCAGTTTCAAAAATAGAGGTAGTTGGGATTACAAATCTGCACAACAAGGACAAATGCTGTCTTTTAAAAAAATGGAAAAAAACGATGCCAGCCAAAGAAGCAGTTAAGTTATCAGCAGATCTGCACCTCTCTCTCTTCTCCTCCAAATCCAATTCACCAGGCTCATTGTTGGCTCCAAAACTGTTGTTGCCTGTGGTTCCTGCCCTGCTACATCTCCAGTGGATCACAAAGACATTCCACTCTGACCTTGTTTCTCTTCTGCTCACTGCTTTATCTCAGTCCCCAACACTAGCAGGCATTCCCTGCTGCTGCCTCCTCTCCATCCCTGTCCAAGCAGGCCATGCCAGCCAGGGAAGGAGGTAGCCCACCTTCGTATATTCACATCTCTGTCCTCTTCTCTCAGGCCAGTCCTTTGGTTGAGTCTCATCATCATTCTGTAGACCATATGCTGTGGCCAGCACCTCTTCTCTCCCAACACCTCCTGTGGAGCACACAGAAATCTCCCAACTTCCTCCCCACTCATTTTGCTTTCCCAGACCCAACTCCAGCAGTAACTTTGTGGGAAACCCAGTCTAGCTTGCCAGAGAAGCAAGTAGGCCACCAAAGAATGTAGACAACCTTCAATTCTTCAGAGTCTCCAAGTCTTCAAATTCTCCAAATTTAATCACACAATCTCATCTCCAGTTTTGTAGCAGAATGCATGCTTCAGCCACTCCATACTCTCTGTCTCCCTAGCCAGTCAACTAAGCAGATCCTGGTAGAACACCCTGTTTTCCTCCCTCATGTGGATCCTCTAAGCCCTGCTCCTAACCCGTACCTATTCCTCCAGAAACCCCAGTCAAAACACCTAGAAGGATCTCAGAATTCCCTACCACAACCACCACATCCTCATAAGAATCAGAGAGGACAACAGAAACCAAAGAACAAAACAACAACCCAAATAAGGCCAGATATCAGTGCCTAGAATCACAATCATTCCTAATCTAGATGCCTAGACCCCAGTAAAACACACAATAAAGAACAGCCATGACAAAATATTTCCACTAGAGCCTGGCAAACCTACCACACTAAGCCCTGAGAACTCTAACATAGCTGAAACACAAAACAAAGACCTTGAGATAGCATTAATAAGTATAAGAAGTCCTGAAAAAGAAATGAAGAAATCTTTTGAAGAAATCTATGAAAATCCAAACAGTCAAAGGAAATGAATAAAACACTTCAAGACTTGAAAGTGGAAATAGAATCAATAAAGAAAACCCCAAATGAGGGAAATCTAGCAAAGAAAAATTTAGGAAATTGAACAGGAGTCTCAGAGGCAAGTGTCAGCAAGAGACTACAAGGGATAGAAGAGAGAATCTTAGGCATTGCTATATAAAATAGACACCTTGATCAAAAAGAAAAAGAAAAGAAAAAAGAAAATGATGGTTTAAAACATTCAGCAAATCTGGGAAACAGATGAAAAGAACAAATCTAAGAATAATAGGAATAGAAGAAGAAAAAAATATCTCTTTTTGTGAGCTTTTTATTGGGCTCTTTTCCTTCTGTTTTATCCTTTTCTAATGTTTTATGTTTTGTTTTATTTCATTTTATTGTTACCCATTAGAAACCTGTTTATTTTCTAATGAGACATGGAAAAGGAAGGGCTTGTCCTGTCCAGTTTTATGTCAGTTTGATACAATCCAGGGTCATCACAGATGAGAGCTTTAATTGAGAAAATGCCTTCATAGTCAAGCCTGTGGGTATTTTCTTAGTTTATGATTTAGTGGGAGGGCTTGGCCCACTGTGGGTGGGGCTATTCATGGCCTGGTGGTCTTGGACTCTATAATAAAGCAGTTTGAGCAAGCCATGAGGACCAAGCCAATGAGAGCAACTCTCCATGGCCTCTACATCAGCTCCTGCCTCTAGTTTTTTATCCTGTTTGAGTTCCTGTCCTAGCTTCCTTCGGTGATACAATACAATGTAGAAGTAGAAGCCAAATAAATACTTTCTTGCCCATATTGCTTTTGGACATGGTGTTTCATCACAGCAACACTAAAA